TTTCTGTTTACGCCATTTCTTTAAACATGCTATCACAACACAGGGTGTTAATGGTGCCACAGACCCCTGGATATTTAAGATCTCCATCACTCTCTCCCATGAAGCTGACTGTGATTTTACACCTGGTGATTCTGGTCCTCCAGAAATAGTCCTGAGCCCTTAAATCACCTAAAACAAACTTTTTTTTTCTTTCCTTCCTCTCATCTTTAGGAGAAAATAATTGTCTGGTATGAGTATTCTTCATTTCTAAGATTTCTTAGTGGCTCTTAAATTCTTCTTCTTAATTACAGACCAAAGATGAACTCTGATATGCAAAATATCTCCTATTCAAATGATGGTGCTCTGAAGATACTTCTTAACTATAAAGAAGATGATTTTTAAGTATTACTTCCAAAAACAATGTAAAATCTATTGGTGACTATTTGCATTCTCAGAGTGTTTCTTCTTATGCACTATTCCCATAACTGTCTTTTACAGAACATTTTAAATTTTTTGTAATAAAACCACCTTTATTTCAAGGGCCTATTTTGTACCAATTATTGGCTACAAGTGGAGAAAGGAAAGTCTGGGTCCTTGATTCTGGCCTGCTTACTACTTGCTCTTAATCAAACAGACCTCCAAAAACAAAACAAAATCCAGCCAGTTATGGTGGTTCATGCCTGTAATTCCAGAGGCTGAGACATTGCCATGAGTTCAATGCCAAGCTGAATTATATAGTGAGTTTCAAGCCAGACTGACTATAAGGCTGACTTGGAAGACAGTAAGACTCTGTCTTAAAATACAAATAACTCTGTCTCTTTTAAGCTGTTTTTATCTTGGAATGACTATTCAGTTGCAGCCAAACCTCACTCTAAAAAACTTTCAAGAGCTGCTTTTATCTGCCCTCTGCCTCTATTGTAGTCAAATCTGTTACCACTTCCTAACATGAATCCTATCACTGTGCACCCAATGCTTGTTCCTTCCTGCCCTGGTATTGGCTTTTCCCTTGGTGTAGAAGACAAGATCCATTCTTCTTTGTCCACCTTGTTTCAGGAATGTAGCACCTCTGAGCCTTTATGTTATATAGTCACCACACTTTGCAGGAGTTACCTATAGATGCTCTCTCCCACCCCAGATCTTAAGCATCTTGAGTACAGAGACCATTCTTTTTAGGGTCTAACAGGCTTGCCTGAATCTGGAAGGGGCAACAGATTTTAAATGGGTAAATAAATAATTAATTTTAAAATGCAATTAAAGTACTAGCTGGGGGCCAGGCATACTGGTACACATGCTTTTAGTTCTATCACTCATGTTTCTCTTCCAATCAGACAAGTCCCACTCAAATTATAACAGTCAATCTCCAAGTTCACCAATTTAAATGTTAATCTTATTGAAAAATGCCCTGGCAGAATATCCAGAATGTTTGACCTTATGTTAGGGAACGACCCAACCAAGTTAACCATCACTAGTGGGAATTCATACAATGAATATTTATTGAGCACCTAATATGCATTCAGATATTGTATTAATTTCCAAAGATAGATCAGGGAATAGTTATTGCCTCCTCTTGATAAAGAATGGAAACTTAGCAATCAATAAAATAATCAAGTATGGGAGAATGGAAACTTAACAATCATTAAAATAATCAAGTATGGGTTGTGTCTAAAAATGGCATCACAGGGGTGAGTAGTAGTACCTCCTTAACACTAACCTAAATATGCCAACTGGATATTGACTGTTGCTATAGCTTATGATAGCTACTATTAAAATATTAAAAACTTACTGACTTATTAAAGCTTATCAATCAGAAGAACTTTAAATAACAATTGTTTTTTCAGCTATCTATTAGAACTGTTCGTATTTTACTTTTCTGGTTTTGTTGCATTCATGTATAGTGAATTACAGTAATAGCATTTTAATTTGAAAACAGTGTCAAAAGTCATGCTCATTATATTATTTATTTTGGTCATGCTGAATTAATTAGTATGATAATTAATTAGACATTGTTTTTTCCTTCTTTTTTTTACTTTTTGAGACTTTTATACCATGTGGTTATTTATGGTTTTTTTTTTTTTTTCTTTTTTTAAACATGGTCTTACTAGGTAATCATGGTTGGCTTGGGACTCATTATGTATAACAAAATGACTTCAAATTCATAGCATTCTATCTGCCTCCTGAGTGCTAGAATTAAAGGAGTCAGCAGGCCCCTTGGCCTGGCCTTGATTTAGTACATTTTAGCCTACCCACAGAGCAAATCTGGTCCACCACCCATGTTTGTGTGGCTTCTAAGCTAAGAATAATTTTAACACCTTAAGTGGTTGAAATCATCAAAAAAAATTATATATATATATATATATATATATATATATATATATATTCCAGTACATGCAGCAAATTTTCATTCATATAAGTATTAGTTTCCTATTACTTCTGGAGGGGGCTAACTATAACATACTTAGTCACCTAAAACAACATAAATGTGTTGTTACAATTCTGGAAGTCACAAGTCAGAGATGAGTTTCCTGGGCTAATGTTGATGGGGTGGGGCACTTGCCTTTTCTTCTTCTAATGCTGCGTCCCTAGCATGTCTTGCCTTGGGAGCTGTCTGTCCGTCTCCCTAGCCTTCCCCTCCCCACTCCATGTCTCAAAGCCTTGCTGTGCTTCTCCCACCCCAGCACTGCTGTCTCTGAACACTGTGGCAGCATGATTCACAACATGCCCGATGTCCATCCACTGGTGAGGGGACACATAAAGCCAAAGAAGTTTCGTGTTTACAAATGATTTGGTCAGAAGCAGCAGAGAACGCTTGCACATTCTGAGTGCAATATGACAGGCCAAAGGTGTGTGCTTAGAATTTGTTGATGGCTGCAAAATGATTGCATAGTTACTGTGAAAGATCCCCATGAGACCCCAAGAGTTTGGAGCCTGTCAGGGGGGAAGGCCCTTGCCCCCAAGAGACGAGACCAGACCACTGGATGCAAGTGCAAGAGGTTATTTATTGTTTACACAGGTACCTGTGGACGCTTCAGTCTTTGGGGGACTGAGCGTGCTGAGGTTAAAACTCAGGCAGTTTATATAGGGTTGGGGTGGCAAGAAGCAGGCTTACAGAAGCAGAAGCATGGTTACAGGGATTTCATTGTTTCATCTAAATGTAGCAGTTGTAGTTAACCAAGGACAGTTGGTTATTCGGGTTGGGCACAAAGAATACAAAGAATTCAGTTATGACTCTCTCAGCATCCCTCCTGTACTTTTCTCATAACTTGACCTTGGCAAATTAGTAAGAGCAATTTAAACAGGCAATAAGCATGGGGGGGGTCTTTCAACAGGAATTTGCCAAATTGTATACTTTAATTGAAATTTAGGACATGCAAATAAAGTAAATAAAGCATAGCTAGAATAGCAGAAATGAATCAGCAATATAGCTTAATGGTAGAAAGTCTCATGGACAAAGTCTGGGGTTCCATTCCCAGCAACCCAAAGAAGTGAGGAGGGATGCTGGGGCAGGGAGAGGGGAGGGTGGAGGGAAGGGAGGAAGAGAGATTAGTAGACAATAAGTGTTAATTAAAAGTATTAAGGCTATAATTTGAGAAAGCACTTGTGATAAATGGCTTTCAGCTAATCGCTTCTTAGTATGTACTGTGCCAGAAAAGAGGGTAAGTGAAGAACCTGCCTGATTCCATTTTAAAGACAGGGATCATTATGCTATATTTTTAAAAATGTTTCTATTTACTGTGAGAATTGAGCAGCTCTGTGTTCCTGGAGCCTGACCTCCCCCAACCCATGACCTTGATTTGTTTTTGAGAATACCCTGACCCCAACTCTCCCTAACTCTCCCTGACCCCTCCTAATCACATGGTGGGTGATCATATGATGTTTTTAAAATGTATTTTTGTACTTCCTCATTAACCCATTGTCTCCCTTCTGTAAAACTACTTAAAAGGGGCCTAAGAGATGGATCCAGTGCTGCTGTCTTTAACCGGACTTTTCCTTGGGTGCATCCCAATAAAAATCAAGCTTGTTTCAAATTCAGATCGAATTGTGGTAGCGGTCTTACTCTCCAAATTGGGATTAACACGAGTACCAAGTCCACTGTGCCGGAGTGGGATTCATTCATTCAGAAATCATTTGCCAGGCTTTATTCTTTATTCACCAGGAGAGTCAGTCAAATGCGCGCACACACACACACACACACACACACACACACACACACACACACACAACTTTTCTTCATTAAGGAAGTTTAACCTTCAAAGTGCCTCCCTGAAAACTAAACAAAAAACAAACAAAACAGGAAAAGACTTGTGAGTGGAGTCTTAAGTAAAAGGTACAATCTGGGACAGTAAAAGCTCTGCAGTGGAGCTGGCTTGGTAGGTTTGGGGTGAGGGGTCAAAGCCCCATGCCTGGAGCCTTTTGATCCTTTGAAAGAACAGTAGGAAATTCTGATTCCGTGCTGAAGAGGGAGGTGCAGAGGGACTGGATGGCTGGATCCTCTACCCTCAGGGCCATACAACTGCTGTGATCAAAGGTGGTAGCTAGACACCATTCAGGTGACCAGTAGATAAGTCAGTCAATGTTAATGGAGGAGACTTAGCCTAGTCTGGCACACTTGAGGAGCATCCAACTTTTTGACACTATGTTCTGATTTTGCAGTATGCAAAGCTCACACCGAGCCACGCAGTAAAGTTGCCAAAAGGGAATTAAGTGCCAAGATAAATAAATAATAACAATAAATTAGAAAATATGTTTTAAGTGCATGGTTTTGTGTTGGGTCGCATGCATAGCTGTCCTGTGCGCATGCGGCAGCGGGGTGGGTGAGAAGAAAAGGGCTAATGAGGGTTGACTCCTTGTCTTCTGGAGGGATGAACCGACCGGAAGAGGCCGAGGTGGCCACCCGAGCGGCTTTCCCGCGCTCGGCTGCACCCGCGGACAGACTCCCGCTTCAGGATCACCGCCCTCGGGAGGCGGGGCCGAGCTCAGGCGAGCAGAAAACTCTTCTTCCCGGCGTGCCTCGCCGCGCGCCCCACGAGCCGGGGGCGGGGCCTGCGCGCGCGCGCGCAGTAGCGGCCGCGCTGACGGGGGCGGCGAGGCGGTCGCTTCGAGCGTGTTAGTTCGCTCCCTGAAGAGAGTGAGGGCGGTTGGGCTCCGGCGGTCTCTCGCGCGTTCGCTGGTAAGCGCGGCGGCGGCGGCGGGAAGCGCGGGCAGCGGGGCGCTGCTCGGAGGCTGTCGGGCGGCCGGGTGGTCGCCGCCTGCGGCGGCCGAGGAAGCTTGCCGCCGTCGGGCAGCCCCCGATGCTGTGTTTTGCCCCGGAGGGCGGACACGGGGTTAGCACGGCGGGCAGGCAGGCGGGGCCGGGCCGGGCCGAGGAGACTGGTCGTGGGCTGTCGCGGGTGACGGGAGCGAAGCCTCCCCCCACACGTGAGATTCTCCCACGGGAAGGCGGCTGCCCGGGCCGGGGCTCGCGCGTTCGTTGAGCGAATAAACGACGATTCCCGTCGACCCCTGACCTCGGGTTTGGATGTTTTGCTCGTTTGGTAAGACTAGAACTCACAGTTTTGTTCGCCCGGTGACAGCCAACGTAATGCTGCAGACGTAACAAGGCAGTGCGTAAATTATTATTATTATTATCATTATTATTATCATTGTCATTATTATTTTTAAGCTGGAAGGCGGGGGTGGGCTCCTTGGCATTTTGACGGCTTAGTGGAAGGTGTGACCACAAAATAGTACCTTCGGAGTGTAAGTGGCCCCTCCCCCAAACTCAACTCTTATTATCCACAGCGTTTGGAACCGGTACCGAATCAACTGCATTTGTTTTGTGTGTCAGCATTCAGTTGTCACCTTGTTTCTGCCGGCTTGGTGCTGTTTTCTCCATCTGCTGTGGAAGGCATTGAGGCGGAGCCAGGCTTCAGTCCTCCCCTTTCTTAAAAAAAAAAAAAAAACTAGAGATAAAATCGACACTATCACTTGCTTGGAGCTTTTACCCTGTGGGACATTTTCAGAGTTACTGAAGCAGTCTAGAACAAGTGTGTGCAACAGTCGAAGAACAAGTTCATCATGAAGAGAGCAAAGTTTTCCTTAAAAACAAAACTCCAGGTTAACCTGGTAGAGCCTTCTAGGTTGATGGTAGTTTGAAAACATGCTTCTAATTTTACTACCTTCTAAAATCTCATTAAAATTACAGGGAAGGATATTTGGGGTTTTGTTTGAGACAGGGTCTTGCCCAGGCTGGTTTCAAATTTGCAGTGATTCTCCTGTCTCTCAAGTTCTGAGATTAGCCTCCTCCCTCCCCTCCCCTTTTTTGGACACAAAGTCACTGGGATAGAGACCTTGGGAGATAATAACAGTTAAATAATGAACTCCAAAAGGCAGTGGCTAAACCAGCAGTGAAGAAACACAATAAAACTAGCCTGAATAAATCATAGCTTCAGAGCACATAGATTCTGGAAGTGTGTCGATGTGGCTAGAAGTGGAAGACTTAAAATGTTAGGTTAAATCTTTTTAAGGAGCAGTAGGATACTTAGATTCCTTTTTCCCCTTCACACTCTGTTCCCCTTGATTAGAAAACTAGGCGGCTTATTTTGACATAATTTTGTTAACTGGAAGACCCAAGGCAGTTAACTGTAAGGGTACACTTATGAAAGTAAGGACCCAAAACCATAATTTCTTCTGGTTACCACATGCAGGCACACACATATACATACATCACAAAAGAAATGATAAATGTATGTGTTACCTATATTTAAATGAAAAGTAGTTTTAAAATTTTTGAACATTATTTGATATAGCATTTCCTCTCATCATTTTTTCATACAACTATACCTACACACCTGTAAATATAATATCACCTACAGAAGCAAATAATACTGGTTTCCTTGAGAGGAATTCTGAGTGCAAGACAAAAGTGGAATGAGACAATATTATATTCCTGGGTTAAGCTACATCCAGTAACAGATGGAAGCAGTTGCAGAGATCCACAGCCAAGCACTGGGTTGAGCTCAGGAAGTCTAGTCAAAGAGAAGGAGGAAGGGTTACATGAACAAGGGAGTGTCAAGATCATGACTGGGAAAACCACAAAGCTGGTGGGACCTTGGGGTGTCTGGACAGACGGCTGGAGAGTTCTGCATGTGGGTCACAATTGTGTGGCTTGTTGGCTTGGTCTGATTGTGGGGTCCCTGGCAGTGGGACCAGGATCTCTGGTGCATGAGCCAGCTTTTTGGAGCCCATTCCCTACGGTGGGATCCCTTGCTCAGCCTTAATCCAGATGGGAGGGGCTTGGTCTTGCCCAATTTGGTGTTCCTTCCAGGCTTTGCTGATGCCCCTTGGGAGATCTCACCCTTTCTGGGGGAGTAGATGGGGGTCAGGGTTGGAAGGAGGTAGAGAGGAACAGAAGGAAGAAAGGGAGGGGGAACTGTCATTGTTAGGTAAAATAAGAATTTAAAACTTAAAAAAAAAAGGACTGGTAACATACTTCTGTTACATGGAAAGGGGGAAATAAAATGATGAAAATTAATAACTAGGGAAATTAAAAATGACTAAGATTATGTGGAAAAGGGAATGATGAAGAAAATTATTTAGATATATAAAAATTTAATTGGGGTGGTTAAGAATGAAGACTCTAAAATATATTTCAGAAATGTTTTTGTAAAGGTACAGCATCCTATTTGAAATGAACTATTTTAAGGTCTCTGCATCAAAGTATCCCATTTGCATTATCTTATATAATATCTCCCAGCTCCAGTAATTAGTTTTAAACGCCCATAAAAATCTTCGAAGTAATACAAGATTTAGTAAATATATAGAGAGAGATACCAGTTTGTAGAGAAGTAGTTTCTGATTGTGTTTATTTCAACTTTTGAATGTGTTCATTAGCAGATTTGGGGTCTTACCCATGTCTCACAACTCATCTTTCACAACAGAATTTTCTTTTCAGGGAGATGTCCTTTGCTTCTTGGATGTAATGCACTTTATGTTTATTATTCAACAGTGAAAATGAGTCATACGGAGGTAAGATAATGTCATGTATTCTGTATCTTCAGATTAACCTTTTGGGGAGATGGGAGAATGGGTTAATCATCACTTCTGTGCAATAGTCTTGTTTTTAGTTTGCATGGTGACAGGCAGTACAAAATTAGAATTGGAGGATAAATACAGAACAATACTACTATCATGGTTTAATAAGAATCAGGAAAAACAAATAGGTTGAATAGATGTTTATTCAGGGAGAAATAACTTACAACAGAAACAGATGAATACCAGCAGGTTCCTGGTCCCAAGGATGCCTCCGGATGCTCTCTGTCCCTGTCCTGCCATCAGGAGAGCTCTGGGGGTGGGGGGGGGGGTGACCCCAGACATAGTCTCCTCCAAGCCCCACATCTGCCCCTGTCCCCACCCCCAATGGGCGTGGTCAGTGCCACAAATGTGGGCAAAGTGACTATCTCACTACATACTACCTTATTTTGATTCTTAGCTAATAGCTATGTAACCTTGAGCAAGTCACTTAATCTGCTTTGCCGTATCTGTAAATAGGAATAATAGTACTTGCCTCATAGAATTATAAGGAATGGTTACAAGAGTTAGTACATTAGCACTTATGTAGTACCTGACAGTAAACAGTTCTTAAATATTATAAATATCATCACTTGTTTAGAAGTCCTCCCTTCAGTCATGAGTCTTACAAAGCAAATACATGTATGTATTCAGTTGTCTAAATAGTCAAGGAAATAATTTGGCACTTTTATTCTCTTGAATTTTAGGTTAAATTAAAAATACCCTTTGGAAATAAATTACTGGATGCTGTTTGTTTGGTGCCTAACAAGAACATAGCATATGGAATAATTCTTACACATGGAGCATCAGGAGATATGAATCTTCCTCATTTGATGTCGCTGGCATCCCATCTTGCATCTCATGGGTTTTTTTGCCTAAGATTTACTTGCAAAGGCCTTAATATTGTACATAGAATTAAGGCATATAAAGCAGTTTTGGTAAGGAAAATATATTTACTTATAACAAGGTTCTGCTTAAAACTCTTTATAAATTTAAGCAATTTCATTGTCTGATTTTTAGATAAAAATATTTTAATGAGTATCCTTAGAAACTTGGCAGTACACATAGGGTATGTGTTTCCCTTTTTTTGTCATCAGTTTGTTTTCATGGAGATGAATGTTCACATTGTAAGTGTTCTTGCAGGCTGCTGCCCAAGAAGTTACTGAGAATTTTTTCACTGGGATAATGTAACTTTAGAATATGGTTATGCTGATCTAGAGGATTAAACCTACTATACTATACACCACTTTTATATGCTAGCATTTTCATCAAATTTGAAACTTCTGCTGGCTTTTAAAAAATAATTTGTCCTTTATCAAGTTTACTGTAGTTGGAGACATGAATCTGAGAGAGGGGGATCTAAAAGTGAGGTAGACTAAAGCATGCAATAGCTAACTTTAGAGTTTCAGGCAACTTAAACTCTGACAGTTAAGAATCACATGAATAAGATGTTCAATTACAAGAACAAGTCACATGTAGCAAAAATATGTTTTTCCATAGAGGCATATAAATAAGAGCTGAAATAAACTCCCTCTTAGCCATATACCTGGGAGGAGCATAAAAACCCATTCCAAGAACATTTTTGTCTTTTGAAGAAACTGAGATCTCAAGACTCTCGTCTTTTTATCTTGGAGTCTTCTCACAAGCACTTGGAATTCTCATTTGACTCCATTCTTGAACTATATTCAGACATCTCCCTCTTTTTTTATTTTTTGATAGCAGGATATGCAAAGTGGTCTTGATTTGAGGGTTTTGTTGTTGTTTGGGGGGGAGTTGTTGTTTTCTTTTTGTTTTTCAAGACAGGGTTTCTCTGTGTTACAGTCCTGGAACTCCCTTTGTAGATCAGGATGGCCTCAAACTCATCCGCGTGCCTCTGCTTCCTGATTGCTGGGATTAAAGGTGTGCACCATCACCACCACCTGGTGATTTGAGATATTTTAAGTAAATCTAATTGTCATTTGATTCACAACTATCCTGTAAGCAGGCAAATTATAACATTAGAATAGTGGAATTCTGCCACCAACAACAGAGATCCAAACTGTCCAGTATTATCTATTAGTACATTGCTGTATTGATCAGGAAATTCGAGAGAATAACTTAAAAGGAGACCCATATGATTACTTTTCACATGGGGCCTCCCTTTATTAATGGTGAAAATAAATCTTTTGAATTATCCTCTTGTGCTATAATATCTATAGGAGACAATTTAGTGGGGAAAACTTAAAAGGCAGTGAAAGAATCCACTTGATAAATGCTTTTTTTAGTCTGGATTCAAATAGCTGTCTGTAGTTTTTCCTTTGCCTCTGGAAATTATGTGTGAGGACTATCCAATGCCATCTTCTAGAATTTTAAATAGATTGGTTAGTGCATAATTAGGTAAACATTTTGATTTTGCTGAAATTACATTGGAAATAGAGCATAGCTCATGAGACCAGGGAGAGATCTGTAGGTGAATTACTTTTTTCAGCCTTGTCATAGCTTTCCTATGTTGTAAAGTTAGCTTTTTCATACAATCTCCCAAGTACTCATCAAAAAGTGGAAATAATCCAGTATTAGATCAATTATTCATATTCCTTGCCCCACTCTGTCTCATACTTACATCTTCATCTAAATTTCCTTCTTCTGAAAACCAGGGATTATAGTCATAAGCAATCTATTAGTTGTGATTTTGATACTTGTGATACTTTAACATAACTCAGAGTCTTCCCTGTTTTCTGTCCCATTGTGCTCACTCACCTTCTGTGAGGGCCTCCACCCTCTTATCTCATAACTGACTTCAGGTCCCTGTTCAGGTGCCACTTGTTCACCATACTAGAAGCCATGGGACCTGGGGGAAAGGAGCCAGTAAATGTAGGCGGACCAAAGTCTCATGCAGTAAACAACTTTATTTTAGAGCATCAGACAATTTGTATTCTGTGGGTTAAGAAAAATCACATCATATGAGCAAGGTGTTCAATCACAAGGACAAGATACATGTTGTAGAAACATGTTTTTCGGAAGAGGTTCATGAATAACAACAGCTGAAGTAAATTCATCCCTATCTGATACACATGGGTGGCCATGAAAACACATTCCAAGAACAATTCTTTATTTTGAAGACACAGGACTCAGGTCACAGGACTCCAGTGTTGTTTTCTTGGAGTTTACTCACAAGCACTCAGAATTTTCATACAACTCTGTCCCTACAGTTTACTGCTTGAATATTTTTAGAAAGGCAAATTAATTTTTCCCTGACATAAAGGTTAATAGTGAGCACATGACTAGAAGAGGAAAGTACAGTATATCCTCTAAGAATCTGTATGGTTGTCTTTGCATAAATTTTTGTATACATCAGAAATGGTAAGAATACCAGTGGAATGTAACATGAGAGGAACTGATAATTTTTTGGTTGATTTACCTAGAATTACCTAAAGACCTCAGGAGAATACAAACTTGCTGGTGTTTTTCTTGGAGGTAAGCTTCAGTGTTAACTGCATTATAATATTAAAATTGATAACAGGAGGTTAAGAATTAACTTTGTTTTGAAACATGATCTTGATACTTTATCATAAAGTATGTTTAAAGCTTTTATTAAATGTGTTAAAATATAAGACCTTCTACCTCTATTCATAGTGTTTTATTATTATTCTTGCAAATGATTCATTAAGAATTTCTTTACCACCACCACCCTTTTTCTTCTTTTTGGTTTTTTGAGACTGGGTTGCTCTGCCTAACAGCATTGGCTGTTCTGGAACTCTCTGTAGACCAGGCTGGCCTCGAACTCACAGAGATCCACCTGCCTCTGCCTCCTGAGTGCTGGGATTAAAAGTGTCCACTACCACCACCCAGCTAAGAATTTCTTCACCCTTTTAAGTATTGAGAAAAATAATTGCTTCTTTTTAAAATGTGAGGTAAGCTAGATCAGTTTTTAGCTTTTCATAAAGGGGTAGGTTTCCATTAGGACTGTTGGAATTTGTTGTCACTCTTTTGAGTTAAATGATTTTTTTTTCTTCCATAAATATGAAGAACAGCAAATCTATTTTACCATACCATTGCTACTATTGTATGTAAATGTTTATATTTCTATTTGCACTTAATTGGTTTTAGGTCGTTCGATGGGCTCAAGAGCAGCTGCTTCTGTAATGTGTCACACTGAGCCAGATGACACTGATGATTTTGTTCGAGGTCTCATTTGTATTTCTTACCCACTACACCATCCAAAGCAGCAGCAGAAACTCAGAGACGAAGATCTGTTTCGTATAAAGGATCCTGTGCTATTTGTGTCAGGCTCAGCAGATGAAATGTGTGAAAAGGTGAATTGTATGAGTGAAATATATTAGGGGCAAGATTAATTCCTATTACATTCATCCTCTGGACATGGTGACCAACACCTTTAATCCCAAACTCAGGAAACAGAGACAGATGGATTTCTGTTCCAGACCAGCCTAGTTTTATATGTAGGGAGTTCCAGGTCATCCAGGGTTACATCTACTCTGTCAAAAATAAAACAAAAAAAATGCTTATGTCTCTTGTTGTGTATCTTTGTTACCCTGTAGCTTTGTAGTACATAAAATTAATAAAAACCAGAAAGGGATTTGGTAAATAGATTTTATCCTTATTTAAGGAATTAATAATATCTGATTGTTATTTGGGAGATAGTAGGGTATACATTTGGTTTATCATTTCAGCTTTGAGGTGGATTGATATGTAATATCACTCCCAAGTAAGTGTTGGCAGCATTCATATGTTACTGAATATTAGCTAAGTATTATGAAACTGCCGTTTCCCAGAGCACATAGTTTCCTTAGGAAAAAGATTTTTTGGATAAATAACTCTAATCTGTTCAAGTTTTTCTTGTCAACAAATGCTTGATGTATTATTGTGTGATTGTTTGAGAGAAATGGACTGCTGTAAATATTTCACTAAATACTCCCTTGTCTATAAAGTTGCATGTGGGGCAGGTATTTAATACTCTTGAGTGAATGCCAGTCCAATATAGGTAAGGGAAAGGTAATCTTTCATTAAATATGTATTTATACATATATATGTATAATAGAGTCTCATATCCTCTTCTCTTTAGAATTTGTTGGAGAAAGTGGCACAGAAAATGCAAGCTCCCAGTAAAATCCATTGGATTGACAAGGCAAATCATTCCATGGCAGTGAAAGGACGGTCAACAAATGATGTTTTCAAAGAAATTAATACACAGATCTTGTTTTGGATCCAAGAAATCACTGAAATGGACAAGAAATAATTGTCATTAGAAGCCCATGTTATTTTGAATAAAAGTACGGTTAATTTGATAAAGAAGAATATACCTCTCAGCATTGTGAGATATATTTCAGACTAATGTTCTTTAATGTTGCCCTATTTTTGAAACATGGTATTGTGAAAATATCCTTTACAAGATGTCTTTTGAAAGCACTGTTATAGTTATATGAAGATAATGTACAAATATTGAAGGTTGTCTATAATTTATTTTCATTAGTATTGTTAAGTTTTGAAAAATTAAACATTTGCATTTTGTTACAATGGTGCCTTGTCTTACTCTAAAATGCAGCTAAGAAAATGCTTATTTTTGAGAATCAGTACCACCTTTTCAAAAAAGAAAAGGGCTGGCAAGACTCAGTCATAAAGGAGTTGTTATACAAGTATCAACACTTAAGTTTTTAAAAGTTTGTTTTCATTTATTTATCTTTGGGGGTGGGGGTTGTGCAGAGGGCAAAGAACAGCTTCTGGTAGTTAGTTCTTTTATTCCAAGCTTGGTTCCCTGTGCCCCTTGCCCTTAGCCATCTTGGAAGTTCCAGAATACAATTCCTAGTACCAATGTAAAGTGAGCACAACAAGACCATGCCCCTGTGTACCTAGCCTTGGGACTTGCTGGCCAGCCAGTCTGACCAAACCAGTGTGCTCCAAGTTCAGAGGGAGTGTCTTTAAGGTGGAGCACAAACACATCCACATGTGCACAGCTAACAGTGGAAGAGGTGATATCCAGTGGTCAGAGGACTGCAGCTTGAAACCCTGGGCTCAACAGTCAAAAGCAGAGGGAAAGATGGAGGTGTATTTCAAACAACCTTGGCTGGTTTTCAGAGTGAAGTAGCAACTTCGGTAAATGTATGCTAAGTGTAGTTTGCAAAACAGTAAATACTTGGGAGTTACCAACTAGTATATGATATCAATAGATGATTAATTAAAGTGAAAGTTAAAAATAGCTAAATGGACTAATGTATGCTATATCTAGGCAGAATTAGGGGTTTTAGAAGGTACACAAAATGAGGCCAGGCATTGGTGGCACACGCCTTTAATCTCAGCACTCAGGAGGCAGAGGCAGGTGGATCTCTGTAAGTTTGAGGCCAGCCTGATCTACAGAGCCAGTTCCAGGACAGACTCCAAAACAATACAGAGAAACCCTGTCTCAAAACCAAAACAAAAGATACACAAAATTAGACTAAAGTTAATTTTTTTAAAGAATTTAAAAAATAATGCTTCTGTGCTAAATTCTATCAGTAGCACTATCCCTCAAGTTCCTGGGCCTCTCATTCCTCCTACCCTGGTAGAGTAGATCAGTTTTAATTACTTTTTTCCACCTTAGATCTCTCAAAAAATGAAAACCTAGTTAACTGTACATGGTGTTCATATTATGGTAGAAAATCATGTATTGATGGGAGATGTCATTCTGTAAATGTTTCTCATACTTGGTTAATAAATAAAACACTGTAGGCCAATAGGAAAGCAAGATAGGTGGGACTAGGAGACAAGGAGGATTCGAGGAAGTTGTAAGGAGGAGTCAGCATGGGGAGACCGGGGAGAGCACAACACCAGCCCCTCTCCAGTAAGATGAGAGACCACGTGGAAATACTTAGATTAATAGAAATGGGTTAATACTTAAGCCAGAGCTAGCCGATAAGAAACAAGTAACTGGCCAACAAAATTATATCTATTACAGCGTTCTCTGTGTGTTATTTGGAGCTGGTACCCGGTGGGACTGGCTGCAGGGGGAAAAACTACTCGTAACAATTTATAATACTTTTTTACTAACTCCATTTAAACTTAGCAAAGCTTAAGGTTTTTTCTTTTTATGTGTAAATGGAATGGATATTTAAAATTTTAAAATACTACAGGTCTCAAAACATTGTAAGCCAAAAAACATACCCCAAGCTATCAGAAATACAACAATCGGTCCACTAACAACTAAGATCACTGACAATAGTACAAACTAAAATTTAAAGTAATTAGAAAGAGCTAATGATGTAGCTGAATGGTAGAGCTCTTGCCTAGCATGAATGAGGCCTTAGGTTCAATCTGTACCACAGAAAAATTATGATAGGGAAAGGACAGTACAAAAAGGAAACTTCTGCAAACTATGCAAATATACGATAAAGTGGGTTTAAAAGATTAGTAGTGAGTCTATCAATCTTCAAATTTAAACTATACGTAGAATATAGGCAACTGCACCGAATAGTTTCATGTCACCTTGACACAATCTAGAGTTATCTGTAAGGAAGGAAACTCAATTGAGAAAATGCCTCCATAACATCTAGCAGTAAGGCATTTTCTTAATTAGTGATTGATGGAGGAGGGCCCAGTACACAGTGGGTGTTGCAATCTCTGGGCTGATGATGGTCCTGGGTTCTGTAAGAAAGCAGGCTGAGCAAGCCAATAAGCAGGACCCCTCCGTGGCATCTGTATCAGTTCCTGCTCTGACTTCTCTCAGTGATGGACTATTAACCTGAAGTGTAACTGAAATAAACTCTTTCCTCCCCAACTTCCTTTTTTGGTTATAATGTTTCATCACAGTAATAGTAAAGATAGCAACCAAAGATACAACTTTAAACAGGAATAAAAATTCAAAAGTTAATATCCCTGAATTGGGAATAAGAAACTATATGCTGTTTAATGTAATAGCTTTCCTTTTGAAAACCATGTACCTAATCATGGTTGATAAAAATTTGTAACTCTTAGCAATGCACCATAGGTCTAAGGCTGAAATTAATATTGAAGGAAAGACCCTGTATGCTTCCCTGTTGCCACATTTAGTGGGAAAGTACACAGTCCATTTTAGTTTGAATGTTGTTAAAAGAGCCATCCTGCTGCCTCTAATAATTAAACACCTACCCACTTATGTAATGATTGTTTTAGTGTATAAGATAGTGAGTTTCATTATAGCAATGCCTTCATATTCTAAAACTGTAGCCCTAATCCAGCCAACCTGAATAGCAGTTTTGTGAAAAGGAAACCTTTCTGTCTCATCCTGTGATTTCTACTTTGTTGATCTTTATCAATTTCCAAAATTCTATTCATTCTTTAAAATAGTTTTCCAGATCCTTTGCAGGTTTCCTTGAGTATCTTTTGTCAAAGACCAATGGCATTATGGTGGTTTGAAAGAAAATGGCTCCCAAAGGGGGTTAGGAGGTGTGGCCTTGTTGGAGTAGGTGTGGTTTGGTTGGAGGAAGTGTGTTACGGTAGAGGTGACATTTGAGGTCTCATATATGCTCAAGCCACTTCATTGAGACAGTCCACTTTGTATTGTCTTCTGATTGTGATGTAGCCAGCACCATGTCTGCCTGCAGGACACTATGCTCCCTACAGCGATAATGGACTGAACTTCTGAAGTGTAAGCTGCCACCTCAAATGTTTTCCTTTATGAGAGTTGCCACAGTTATAGTGTTTCTTCACAGCAATAGAAACCCTAAGACAGGCATGTTCTTCCTTTGTCACACTCTGACACCATTCCATATCCATTACAAACTCATGTCAAGGCATGTTTTTTACTTATCCTTGATTATTCAGGTTATTCAGAATATGTGTTTTTGTGCTGCTTGCTTATATATTATTTAAGAAGAGATTTCCAGGGCAAGGAAACATCTATTCGATTAAACAGTCTCTTCCCAGTAGGCAGTCACAAGGGAACCACAAAACCCTAGAGGCTGTTCCAGGCCTGTTTCTTTTATATAAGAGCTTGTTAGTGGAATACTAGCTAGGGATTCATTGTCATAAAACTTGGGCTATGGCATACAGAGGATAATACTAAAATAAATCCCCTTTGAGTTACTTAACATTAAGCGAATTGGAAAAAAATCTGCCATCAAAAGAAATCAAGTTATCTATTCAGGTGCTTTAAATTTTATCAGAAAATCCACCAGTCCCCCCCCCCCCCAGAATCACTGTATTGTGCATGTGTAGAGGGACAGAAGTGAAGGCATACTTAAGGAACAGTGGTTACAAAGGTTTCTTAGAGCTGTGGAATCCCTGCATGCACTCTGGAGGATTATCTTTGCAAAGTCAGAACCCAAGATCATAATGAACCCCAGGTAAACAACATCTTTAGTCTACTCAGGGAACAGAAGACTATCAACTCTGTTTAGAATGTGGAAAGTAAGAGCTCAGTAATTCTGATGTACTCAGAGGAGGCCTGAAGAGCTTGCCCCAGCAGAGTAAATGCCTTTTTCCTCAACTCATCCTGAATAAATGAAATCCAAGAACTATTAATTACATCATCAAAGGACAAGGGCCATACATCCAAATATGGTGTTGTTCACACTATGCTGTGACTAAAATTTGCTTAGTGAGCTTCCAGGCCTACCTGCTTATATTAGGGACTAATCAGTCTAGATCTGCGTCTGACCCATCCTTAATTCTGATCTTAGGACATCAAAAGGAAATCACCAATAGGCCATTCAAAAGACTGACTTTAGTTTTGAATATATGAATAGATTGTTAATGGGGAACTTGAAAACAGAACCCTGTAGGGAAAAGAAATATAAAATGTTTCAAGAAGCCATGCAGGATCAAAAGAGGCAGTTTATCATATGCTTGCCACAGTGGCAACAGTTCATATATAAACTAAAAAGTTATGTGAACTATGTCAAATTTAAGATTTAAGGTAACTAGGAAAATAACTTTTATTTTTAATGTTTCTTTTTTGTTGTTGTTTGGTTTTTTTTTTTTTTTTTTTTTTTTTTTTTTTGATACAGGATCTATTAGCCCTTGGTGTCCTGGAACTTACTATGTAATATAGGACATCTTTGTACTAATGGAGCTCTGCCTGCCTCTGCCTCTTGAGTACTGGGATTAAAGGCATATGCTACCATATCTAGTTACAGCAATCAGTATTTTTATTTGTTACACCTGCCAGTTAACAGTTATTCTAAGAAAGGATTATATTTTCTTGACTACAAGAAAGCACAATACACTTTTGTTGAGGAAGAGTAATTATTAGATTAAATGGCTTTCTGACTTGAACTCTACACATTTTTTTCTTTAGAGCAACAATTCAGTTATGTTGTTTTGAGAGTGTGTATAGAATCATGCTGCTTTTTTAAATTAATAGAAAATTATTTCTTGAATTAAAAAATATAAACTGAGTGTGGAGGCTCATGCCTTTAATCTCAGGATTTGAAAGGCCAAGGCAAAAGCATTTTTTGAGTCCCTGGGAGGGAAGTTTATGCTATATTATAGAAAAAGACCATGTCTCAAAAACAACAACAAAAAGACTAACTACACAATGGTGCCAACAGAGGTGATATACACCT